TCATAATCATCATCATCATCATCATCATCATCATCATCATCATCATCATCATCATCATCATCATCATCATCATCATCATCATCCCCCGATTCCTTATCCTTCTTACCCCTCGTGGAGCACGACGGCGTCTCCATCCCAGTGTTCCTCTGAATGCTCCCACACGTCCTTGATCATGGCAACTCGTCTGGGCATCGTCTCTGGATGGGCTGCCCTTCTCCGTGTCCTCCTCCTCATCATCATCCGTGAATTCCTCCTCATCCCTCCTCCTACTCCGTTTGCTCCTCCCTCCGAGTCCTCGTCCATCCTGCCCATCTTGGGGTACGATGTCTTACCCGACCCTTTATTACACTGCATTATACTCCACATCATCCGTGATCAGGCCAACTCGTCTGGGCGTCGGTGCTGGATTGGCTGGCTGGTGGGGTTACGCGAAGCGTCTAGAAATCGCAAGGATTTCACCGATTGAGGGCGGCCCGCTTTCAAAACGTGGCGCTCGCCATAGCGCCGCACACATTCATCTTTAAGATTTGCAAGAGCTTCACGGATAAAGGGCGGGCCGCTTTCAAAATGTGACTCTCGCATGTGCACTGCGCACACTCGTCTCAAACATGCTCAACAATTCCACGGACGGAGGGCGGGCCGTTTTCAAAATGTGGTAACCGCCTTAGCGCCGCGCGCACTCGTCATAAGCACTTGCAAAGAAATTCACGGATGAAGGGCGGTTCCCTTCCAAAAGTTGGCTCTCGTGCTAGCGCCGCGCGCACTCGTATTGAGAGCTTACAACACGTTCAAGGATTGCAATGATTAACGTCTCAGAAATGGTGTGTTGGCACGATGTCCGACTGTCAGGGCGCTACAGTCACGTTGATTCGCGGAGTTTAAATCCCAGGATTCGCAGTCTGGCGCGACGATTCAGGATTGACAAGACGCAAAAGTGACGGTGATTCGCGGCGTTGAAGTCCCAGGAATGGTGTTCTGGCAGAAGTCATGATTTGCCAGCGGTTGTCTTCCAACGGGACATTTCCCTCAGTGAAAACGAATCCTTGCATAGGGCCTGTACAGAGGGAACTTTGAGGAAGGGCTTAAAGGGTTGATTGCAATATCGTTGACGGGTCTTGGACTTACTCTGGTCCTCCTCCTCCTCCTCGTCCTCCTCCTCCCTCCCTCCCTCCCTCCCTCCCGCCCTCCCTCCCTCCCCCCTCCTCCTCCTCCTCCCTCCCCTCCTCCTCCTCCTCCTCTCCTCCTCCTCCTCCTCCTCCTCCTCCTCCTCCTCCATCTCCATCCTCATCATCATCATCATCATCATCATCATCATCATCATCATCATCATCATCATCATCATCATCATCATCATCATCATCATCATCATCATCATCATCATCATCATCATCATCATCATCATCATCATCATCATCATCATCATCATCATCATCATCATCATCATCATCATCATCATCATCATCATCATCATCATCATCATCATCATCATCATCATCATCATCATCATCATCATCATCATCATCATCATCATCATCATCATCATCATCATCATCATCATCATCATCATCATCATCATCATCATCATCATCATCATCATCATCATCATCAATCATCATCATCATCATCATCATCATCATCAATCATCATCATCATCATCCTCCTCCTCCTCCTCCTCCTACTCCTCCTCCTCCTCCTCCTCCTCCTCCTCCTCCTCCTCCTCCTCCTCCTCCACCTCCTCCTCCTCCCACTCCTCCTCCCTCCCTCCCTCCTCTCCTGCATCCTCGGGGGCCCCGACCCTGGGGCGCCCGGCCTCCTTGGAGCCGACGGTGGGGCTCTTGGTGCCGCTCGGCTGCAACAGCGAGCGCTTCAGGGGCGCCAGCAGGCCATCAGGGGCGACGCTCCCCCTCTTCATGGCCGCCCCGGCGCCGGAGCGGAAGAGACGGAGGAGGAGGAGGAGGAGGAGGAGGAGGGAGAGGAGGGGGTGGAAGAGGAAGAAGGGGGAGGAAGGAGGAGAACGACCCAGCGACGACGACGATGATGAGGGCGACGAGGACAAGAACGAGGACGAGGACAAGGATTGGAGGAGAGGGAAGAGGACGAAATTGCAAGAGGGGGAGGAGGATAAGGAGGAGGAGGAGGAGGAGGAGGAGGAGGAGGAGAAGGAGGATTGGAGGATTGGAAAAACGATTAGAGGAGGATTTGACGAGAATTGGGGGAGCAGGAGAAAGAGGAGGAGGAGGAGGAGGAGGAGGAGGAGGGGGGTGGACGACTGGAGGAAGCTTGGAGGAGGAGGATTGGGGGAGGAAGAGGAGGAGGAGGACGAGGAGGAAGAGGAGAAACAGGGAGAGATTCGAATCTCGATTTTCGAGGTTCGAGGCTCGAGGTTTTGGAACGCTCTTCGCACGCTCCGAGTCGAGGAGGCTTCTCGTCGCCACGTGAAGCGCGGGCAGAGGGCACCCTGGCCACCTAGACCACGACGCGCACACCGCAACGGAAACTTCGCACCCCCAGCGCATGGGAGGAGCCGGCAGGACGAGCCGCCGAGGGGAGAACCGGGTGCGTTTTTCCCCTCTTGAAACACGCCCAGTCACGCCATCATCGCGCTGTCATTTCTGCCTCAGCTGGTGCATACGGTAGACCGTGCCGAAACACCATACCAGGGACCACCAGGGGGGGGGGGGTCCTGAGGGGGGGATCCGCTGGCACATCGAATGTCCGAAAAACGGTGCCATCCGCGCGCCCGGATTGTCGACACCTCTCGGGTTCCGGCCAGCGGCGGCCGGAGACCTCGTTTTGCCTCGTGTTCTGCGGTTTGATGCACCAACGGACCGAACTCACCCCCCCCCTGTGGCACCCCCCTTTTGCGAGGTTCTGAGATACACGTGGGAACGGCATAGTGCCTACCCCCACATCTGGGCATCAGCGCCGACGTCGGGAAGCCGAAGGAAGCTGCGGACACCAGCAAAACGCCTCGCACATCAAGAGGCACAAAGCGCGAAAGTGTGACCGCCCACGCCGCGCACAAACGAGGAACGCTGAGACGAGGGCAACGCGCCCGCCCAGACCGCGATGCGCCACGCACGGCAAGTCTCCACACCACATGGCAGGGAAAGAGTTCGATGGCTGGTCGCCGCGGCGAGTGCGAGGGGGGGCCTCGGGCCCAACGGGCCAGGGGGAAAGAGAGCCCGAGGACAGGATAGGCAGGACATCTGCATAATGGGGTGCAACGTCAATGCACCCACTCAGGTGGCTTACGCGCTTCTGTCAAAATCTCCTAGGGCCGGAAGGGGGCCAACCACGCAGCTCAAGGACCGAGCTCCGAGGTGGCCCCGTTACCTTACATCACGAGTCCCTGCGGGTCAGTGCGGGGGGAGCGGCTACTGGCCCTTCCGCGCGCCCTAGGGGAGGGGACGCGCGGGCTTATAGCAGGGCGCCCAAGCCAGGGGGGGGAGGCGACGACACGAACTCAAAAAGAAGAGAGGGGGGAGGGACGGAAGGCCCGAGACCCCAAACTGTTGCCACGGGGGCTGCTAACTCTACTATGTTAATTCCGCGCCCCCCCCATCCCGCTCGGCTCACTTGTCGGTCTCGCCGAGAGATGCCCCATATATTGTCGCATCTGTACTTTGGTACCCTGTTGACGTATCCCACCGATCCCCCTCAAAGTGCATGCGAGGTAGAGCACACTGGTAGTCACGGTATATGGTACGGCCATTGAGGAGCACACTGGCGGGCCTCCTGATGGTCACTTCTCTCCTTCGACACCCCGCAATAGTGCACCTGTCGGCACTTCGCAAATACTTCCCATGGCGCAGGCGGCGCGAGCGCTCCGAGATGCCCATTCTGTCTGTCATGAGTTGCACTCCGAGAAACCGTACTAATACTCCTTCCGACTGCCTGTGGACACGGCCAACTCGCAGCTGGCCTAGAGTAGCACTCCGAGAAACCTCGCTAATGCTTCCCTTGGCATACCAGCAGGTTCCAATGGGCGTGCTCACTAGTGGCCGCTGGAGGAGCTGGCCGCAGTCGTCTCCTCTGACTTGGGGCAGCCAGACCTTGCCGCGGAGATATCGGTGCCATCAAGCATGGTCTGTGTGCTGTCTCGTAGCTTCTGGCGCTCCTTCAGCCTCTTCACTTCCTCTGGGTCGAGGTTGTCCTCCTTGTTCAGCTCCTATATGGCGACCTGCATTACCTTGTGGATGTTATGTTCGTCATACTTCGCTATCTTCAACGCCAGCCCACACCAGCTCTGCGCAGTAAGGGCTCTCTTCCCTGATTTCTCCCACGCGTCGACTGGGTACCTTGCGATAAGGTCACAGCCTTCGATTCTGTGCGTCATCGTGAAGGACACGGGGATCAGCTCGAATATCTCCTCTGGGCTAATCTCCTGGGCCGCGTCGAAGAACTGGCAGTGGCACTCCTTGATGGCGTCTTATCTCCCACCTTGATCTCCACCACCATCGACGGCCCGCTCTTGAACGGGAGGAGCTTACACCCGCATCTGTTAATGAGCACGTCCTTCGGGTGAATATCCTGCGCTTCGACGAGTTGCAACCAGTGCACCTTGCACCAGAACTGACACATGTCCACCCATTTGTTCATGAGCACGTCCTCTGGGTGAATCTCCTGCGCTTTGACGAGTTGCAACCAGCGCACCTTGCACCAGAACTGCCACTGGCCCCCTCTCGAAAGAGCAGACAGCACGAGAGGAGGAGGAGGAGGAGGAGGAGGAGGAAGAGGAGGAGAAGCCATCGCAAGCGCGGCGCCGGCCAGCGCGGACAGGGGGAGAGAAAAAAGAGATCGGAAGAGAAGAGGGAGGCCACGTAAGCGCGGCACCCGCCAGCGCGGGCAGGGGCTCTTAAAGTGGCGGCCGAAAGTAGGGAAGCGAGGGAGCAGGTGAGACGCCTCGTCGCCAAGTGGCGGCTGACGCGAGAGGAGGGGGAAGGAGAAGGACGAAGGGGCAGCCCAACAAGCAGCGCGGCCCCGCCGCGCTCCAGCGATCAGCCTGGGGCCCAAGCGGCGAAGGTCCAGAAAACGGGCACGCGGCCGCGACCGCCCGCTGTCGGAGTTCCGGCTCCGAGCGCAGCGCGCTCGGCCACTCCGGAGGCAGCCCAGCGCCAACGCCGCCTGCGGCACCGCCGCACGCCTGGTGCGCCGCGCCCTCCTCACGAGGAGCACAATCTGCACCCACAGAGACCGCCCGTCGCACGCTTGCGCCGCCACGCTGCGCCGCAGCACGAAGTCACTCCGGCGCTGGGCCAAGCCGGCGTCGCCCGCAGCGCGGGCAAACTCCCCCCAATAGCACCGCGGCACGTTGGCACCGCCTACCACCACGAACCATCCCACGGCGCGGACGGGGGGGGCGCAAACGACGACGACGACGACGACGACAACGACGACGACGACGACGACGGCGGCGACGACCACGACGACGACGAGGGGCGACGACGACGACGACGACGACGACGGCGACGACGACAACGACAACGAGGACGACGACGACGACGACGACGACGACAAGACGGAGACGACCCCGGAGATGGCTTGAGACGCAAGCTCTGAGCCTCCTGCTCCTCCTCCTCCTCCTCCTGCTCCTGCTCCTGCTCCTGCTCCTCCTCCTCCTCCTCCTCCGCCCCCTCCGCGCCCGCCTCCTCCTCCTCCTCCTCCTCCCCCTCCTCCTCCTCCTGCTCCTCCTCCTCCTCCTGCTCCTCCTCCTCCTCCTCCTTCTGCTCCTCTCGCCCTCCTTGACCATATCATCCTACTCCTCCTCCTCCTCCTCCCCTCCTCCTCCTCCTCCTCTTCCTCCTGCTGGTTCAAGAACTGAGACGGAGAACAGGAAGAATAATGGCACTGAAGACAGACGCCTTCCAAACCATCAACTCCGGAATTCTCTCTGCGGAAGCGCTCGCCCTTTAGAAGCGAGACTGACGGGTTGCGCTATCACCGTTCGCCTCCTCTCGGGCCGCCACGGCAAATCCTCTCCGTCTGCCGAGAGGGCAAAGAGGGTTCTGAGCAAAGCGAGACCTAGCACACTGCCAGAGGAGGATGGGAACGCGCGGAGAGAAATGGATAGTAAGGTACACAACCGACACATTAGCATTGCAGCCACAGACATGCACGTGTAAGATAGATGGCACAAACAAGCGACGAGGGACCAGATGTTGAGCTCTACAGCAATCTGCACATGCATGAAGGGCTCACTCGGTGCTACGCAAACATCAAGAATCTGCGACGCCACGTCCTCTGCTGCTGCTAAACCCACCACATACACCAACGCAGCAGCTGAAATTGCAAACGTTGTCACAAGGGCAATATAATCGCTGAAGGGAGATCGCAAAGTCGTGAATGCTTCAATTCCCATCATGCTGATATCCACACAGAATACAGATGGGATGAGCAGCACCACGACAACATTCCGCAGAAATAGCAGGATCATGGTTTCTCAACAATGCGCTTGAGAATCTGCTCCAGCTTGGCCTTCGTGTCCCGGCCGGCCGTTTCGGAGAGCTGTTCCTCTTTCAAGATTGAGTTCAAAAATCCTGCGCTGATGCCGTCGACGTCCTTCAGCGTGTTCAGGAAGCCATCTGAGTCGGTAGGCCAGTCCTTCGGGTCAGCTGAGGGGGCGATCTGCTCCTGCAGTTCGATGAGCTCCGGCGGGTGCACGCCTGCAGGGACCTCCTCTTCGGCGGCGCCGGGCATCTTGAGCTCCCTGAACGCCCTCGCCGGCGTCGCTGGCGCCACAGCGCTGGAAGGCGTGGACGACCCACTGCTGCCGGAGCGTATCTCTTGCATCAGGGCCATGTGCTGCTGCATGAGGCCAGCCATGGTGATGTCATCTCGCCTCTCCTTCTGCTTGCGGCGGGACAATTTCAGAAGCTTCTTGGCCTTGGTGAAACTCATGCTTTCGATGAGCTCGATGAGTGGCTGGCGCTGCTGTCCTGCTTCTTCAGCGTCTGGGTCATCAGTTTCATGAACTTGAATGGTTCGCTCTTTGACGTGTCATTGGAAGGTACATCTCGCCCACCTTCCCTTTTCTTCTTACTCTTGCTTCCCGGGCCGAAGATGCTCGCAACGGCAGCCTTCGTCTGTCTCTTGATCACCCTCAGCAAAGAAGAGTTCTTCTTCTCTTCCTCGTCGGCGGCCTCTTTGTCCACGAAGCGCTTCTGCATCTTCCGAGACTCATCCAACTGATCATGAACCCACGCAGGGATGAAGCTTCCAGAGCTCAGCCCTTGCTGCCGGTACCCTCCTTGCTGCTGTTGGCCCCCGCGGTCTTGCCACTGGTGCTCACGAGATTTGTTCGGCGGGCGCCACTAGTTGCCACGACCATCTTTCACGGCGCACACCGGCGCCCGGCAAGAAAGGATGAGAATAATGGCATAGAAAACAGTTCTGCGGAACATACTAGCGTGGAAGAGCCAGATCTTGAGGATCTCTGGATGAAACAGCCTTGGCCCTGAAGACGTCAACAATGGCAACACAAACGACAGATCACGATGTTGCGCGCCACAGTGCACACATATAATATGAACGCACGGCAAACCACCTGACTGCGAAACAGAATGCACTGGCGAACAGCCAGGTGTAGAAGCCGAACTAGGACACAGCATGGTACGTGCCACATATTTGCGCGCACAACTTACATATCCATTTGTGCGCGTAGCCACCTGGACAACAATGAGCGGGGAAGATGGGCATGATCTTGGACACGCAAGAAAGATGACCACCAAAAGCTCTGACCACCAGTGTGAATCCAGATCTGCGCCGCCAGGGGAATGCACGACATGCCTTGGATACCATTTTGGTTGGCCACTCCAAACGTAGGAGTTCGCATACAGTATCACAGATAGCATCTGCACAACGACGCGCGCACCCTTCTGCAATTGTGTTGCACGCGAGCACGCGCCCATGAAGTAGCGCGCACAGAAAAAGAAAAGGTAGGCGAGCAGCTGCGGAGATGTAGCTGGGATACTTTGCGACTTTGGGGCACGGAGCAATACCACGCGCATAATCCATACTAATGGAGAGAAACACCACGACGAAATCATCACCTCGAGGGAGGATTTGGTCTCGAAGATACGTGAGTGGTAAGTTTTGCTCTCCACACGAGACACCCACATCCTCTGGCCATACTTTGCACGCGCACGTGCACAAGCACGACGAACAATACACTTTAGAGAACACCAAAGTTACACCAAGATATGAGGGGCTTACTCTGACCACACGGGCGCACGCATCGACGTGCATGTATTTTTTGAGGCGCCCTGTTTTCTCGCGAAGAACTTGTGGGAGTAGATTTGGCCCCCACAAAGTCCAAGACACGTCTTTGGATAGTCGTTTGGCAAGCCGGAGTCCTCGAGCAGCCAATCGAAGGAATATGTTTTGCGGCCTGCGGAAGTTTGCAACGATTTCTCCATGGTGTGCGCGTGCGAGCGCGCATGCCAACTTTCCTTCCTCGTTGACACACTTGCCCTTGACAGTGATATACGCAGACGGAAACATGGAAGGCGTGCATGCAGCACGTGCGCGAAAGCGTGTGGGCATGTACTGTTTGGCCAACCGCGTAAGCCTTTTGGCAACTTGGGCGCGGGACCATAGCGGTAGGTCTACATAGTGTTCATGATCTCGATGGAAACAATCACCCAAACGCCTAATGTAATCCCACCACCCCATGGCGAATCGCCGATGCAGGTATTTGCCCACACCAACCAAAACAAACCCAGGCGTGCAAGCAAGATACTCGTCGCGCACTGCTTCCAGGGAAGCGGGGGCAACAGCGCGCTGTACACCAGGGATGTGCGCCAGTACCTCAAAAGAGGCACATCTCCGAATCCATCGGCCAGTGGGGCATGGGGAGCTGAACTGGCATCGATAATGATCCCCCCGGATAGCTCGGGGAAGCTCCGCCAAAACATGATGTACATCAATGGAAATGCGGACATCCCAATATTGATTGCTCCTGAGGACGTCGTCTGATAGCCGGGCTGACAGCCCAGGATCCCCCAACACGTAGTTAAAGACCGAGACGGAATACTCTCTGGATATTTTGTTGCGGTGTGTAATACCATGCGAAATATTCGCTGGTCTCGAAAAAAATAAATCGCATTTTTTCCAGAAGTATTATGCCACATACGTCGTGCGATACTTATTACACATGTGCACAATGTACGCCCTGAGCACTTGATTACAACGACGTTGAAGGGCTGGTACATCACAGCGTATACGCACACAAAATGGGATCGAAGGGGGGATGTTCCCGCTCGACGGGAAGTATTCCAACTTCCTCCTGGCACGCCCGCATTGCACTTCGGGGGGGGCGATAGCATAAACTCCACACGCGCAAGATCCATTCTGTGAGATGGCCTGTTCCGCCACGCCCGTCGATAGTCCAGCCTCGCCTGAGACTGTCCCGGCAACAACGCAAGCCAAAACTCGTAGCCACGAAAATACATGTAGGTTTTGACGGTGTCCCTGTCCATGCCCAGCGCGTGCTCACTCCACTCACACAACATTGCAAACGTACACGACGGAGCCTGGAAGCGGGAGAGCATGGCGGGGTTCTTGCGGGGTTGGGAAAGCAGGTTGAGGGAGCATTCAGAAGCAAGGGGGGGATGTGCACGAAAACGAGGGCAAGGTCGGGGACGACGTGGTTGCCCAGACTGCGGCGCGCCAGTGCCGGTCTGCGCGGGCGGCTCAAGTATGTTGATCGCCATCTGCTCACACTTAAGGATGTTGGGTGCCGTTCCAAATGCCACAAGGAATACAACCAATGACTCGTACGCCTTGCCGCACCACGCTCGATAGCGAGGTCTGTCATTGTGTGAAACTTGTTGCCTATATGTAGCATTGAAATGTTCACGTAGCCGCGCAGTGCCCATATACCACGTACGTCGATGGTGTGCTCGCGCCGCGCGCGTTTGACCGATGTACCACACACTTGACTCCATCGTGAACGCGATGCACAACAATGATGGGGGAGAGGTGGACCATGGATTAGAAGAGTATAATAACGCACGGAGGTAATTATTCCAACCATCACATGTGAAATCTCTTTCCAAGATGACGCGCTGGATGTCTTGCCCAGCACAGCGGAGACCACGCCGTATCCAACGGTGCTGCGCGCGGTTGCGGCGCGTGTGCCCTGCACCCAACACGACTCTAACTACACCCGCACGCGTGCCATGCGATGTACGACTCTTTTCCGCTGCAAAGCCACCAGCCGAGAACACACCGGACGTCTCGGAACATGGAACGTAGATCTGGGCGTTGACATTCACGCATGCTCCACCGGAACAGGACGCATTCAAGGCGCTCTGCGTTTTGCTGCGATGTCTCAGCCACGGGAATCTTACAACACTTGCATATTTTCTCGAAGATGGCTCGCTCAGGCAGGGTCCGGCAGAAAGCCTTGACGCCGCCTTCCAGCGGCCCGTCCAACACGCGTGCAATTCGCACACTCGCCACGTCCATTGTGCATGAAGCAGAAGAGGTAGGAGTAGGTGAAGAGAACGCATATTGGATAGGTATGTGAATATGGATATTTTAGCTTACACGCCCACACAAAGGTACTGCGCAAGTGTCCCCTGCTGGCTCAGGAACTGAGATGGAGAACAAGAAGAATAATGGTACTGAAGACAAACACTTTCAAACCATCAACTCCAGAATTCTCTTTGCGGAAGCGCTCGCCCTTTAGAAGCGAGACTGACGGGTTACGCTATCACCGTTCGCCTCCTCTTGGGCCGTCACGGCGAATCCTCTCCGTCTGCCGAGAGAGAAAAGAGGGTTCTGAGCAAAGCGAGACCTAGCGCACTGCCAGAGAAGGATGGGAACGCGCGGAGAGGGATGAATAGTAAGGTACACAACCGACACATTAGCATTGCAGCCACAGACATGTATGTGTAAGATAGATGGCACAAGGCAGCGATGAGGGACCAGATGTTGAGCTCTACAGCAATCTGCACATGCATGAAGGGCTCACTCGGTGCTACGCAAACATCAAGAATCTGCGACGCCTCCTCCTCCTCCTCCTCCTCCTCCTCCTGCTCCTCATCCTCCTCCTCCTCCTCCTCCCCCTCCTCCTCCTCCTCCTCCTCCTCCTCCGCCTCCTCCGCCTCCTCATCCTCCTCATCTTCCTCCTCCTCCTCCTCCTACTCCTGCTCCTCCACCTCCCCTCCTCCTCCTCCTCCTCTTCCACCAGCTCCTCCTCTTCATCCTCCTCCTCTCCTCCTCCTCCTCTTCCTCCTCCTCCTCCTCCTCCTTCTCCTGCTCCTCCTCCTCCTCCTCCTCCTCCTCCTCCTCCTCCTCCTCCTCCTATTCCTCCTCCCTCTCCTTCGCATCATCAGTGAGCTCTGGCAAAGGAGGAGGAGGACGAGGAGGCAGGGAGCATCTCAGAATTCATCCTGGTTCCTTAGAGAAGCTTTCCTGGAAGCCTCCAGCTCCTTTAAAGAAAGCCCCCAAGTCTGAGAATCATCACGCCTTTTCAGAAGACGGCCCCGCTTTCGACAACCACTTGTGTGCGCCACCAACTCCAACGAAGCCAGGCAGCCACCTCCGAACACTTTGGGGGGACGACGAGGAGCAGGGGGAGAAGGAAGAGGGGGCGGGGGAAGGGAGGCGGAGGCGGAGGAGGAGGAGGAGGAGGAGGAGGAGGGAGGGGAAGGAGGAGGAAGAGGAGGAGGAGGGAGCGGAGGAGCGATCCCAGAACGACTCTCGTATGACTGCATTGGGGCCCAGGGGAGGGGGGATAAGGCAGGATCAGTCAGCATCAAATCGTGAATCCAGATGGAAACAGAACGTTCGACGGATCGGGTCGCATCGGCGCGGAGTCGAAATCGAATCGAATCCGCTGCGGCATGATGCACAACAGTGCCACGCGAGCATCGGTCCGCATCGGATCGTGAAATGTCAAAACC